TGGATAATACATATACCTTCTTGATGCATTAAATGTCGATGAATGGTATGCATACCTATGTATGGATGGCTGTATGCCAATACCTAAGCCATATCGCAGAGATCTGTATGTGCATGTAATGGAAGCTGGGCCACGCAGAGCAGTCGTTTACTGATCAAGCAACAACTCATACCGTATAATGGCATTCAGGTATTAGGCGATGGAGCAGCCTGGTGCTTATACCGAACACGCTGAAAACCCGGGTTACATGAGCACAATGTGTGAAGTCCATTTCTGGTGTTCCCGTCGTAATATTGTTGGAATATTGTCGGCGTAAAATCATATTCATCCATTCACTCACCGGTTCAGGTGAACACGGTACCCATGCTAGCATAATTCCTGGATGTATTTCAAAGCCATGAGGTCATAGCCAGAGTGAGTCAGATCCAGAGACAATTTGAAATTAAAATTTATTTTTTTAGTTGTGGCTTTATGTTGGATGTTTTCATACGACGTATGAACCGCTGTCATTTATTCCTTAACCCTATGGGATGCAACCAAACACCGAGAATTACGGCGATTTTGACGGCAAGGCAGTGTTGGAATGAGGGAATGCTGTCGTCACAAAAATTGATTTCAGGTTATAATTTTCAGATTTCAAGTTTCGTTCACAAACTTATTCAAAACGTTTCGGTACTGTTACGATTACATAAAGAGCGTTATCGATATTGCATTGCTCTATTATTCAACCGTCGACAGATTTACGGTCATTATTGACATAAAATACTGATGAAATCAATCAAATACCAATCAAAATGTATGCACAGAGACACAATAGAATTGAAACACAGTATTTTAGAATCTTTCATCAATCCTGCTTTCTGATTGATCCCGAGGCGGAAGTGGGTCTACTTTAAATCTCAATTTACAACGTTATTGATGAGTGCTTCCACGCAAATGAAATATTACACTTTCTTAATGATATGATTTAAGTACAGATTGGTTACCATTATAGCTAAGGTCTACCAAAAAACTGGAACGTGAATTAAAGGTAATAGCAATTGATCCCAATACTTCACCTCGCTCATTTCACCAGGAGCAACGGGATCATCAAATAATTGACCTTCAGACTGTATGAACTTTGAGTGAACCTAGTGCTTTAAGCATTCGCTCGACCACGCCGAAGACCCGGGTTCGATTCCCTACGTGGGTACCATATACGTGCTCATTTAAAGTATACCGACATCAATATTCCATATTGATGGAATATTGCTTAAAGCAAGGTTCAACATTATGCACTCAAACAGACACACACTGACGTGCCCAACGGACGCAACTCTGCACAACGAATTGCGGTGCCTTAAACGCCGCACTCAGCAATATTCCACCTATATAGCGGCAGTCTGTAAATAATCAAGTCCGGACCAGACAATCCTATGATCAGCAGCATGAGCATCGATCTACGCAATGGGGATACGATGACATGTGTCCACCAAGTCAACGAGCCTGACCACCCGATCCCGTTAGTCGCCTCTTACGACAAGCATGGGTTGCTGAAGACCAATTCCAGTCCGGTTCTTCACGAGTCCTGTTTTATAATTATATTTTCCAGTTATATCACGGAGTGTCGACATGTTCGGGGACTGTATTATTGGTACAGAGGACAGTGAGGTACCTGAGGACATGACGCAACAGCTAAAAGAGACGTGAATTTCAAACTCACATTAAAGAGAAAATGAAGAAAATAAGTATGCTCTAAATTAAGATTTTTTTAACACAGCTTCTAGTATATTTGCTGGTCGTACGAGAAGACTTTATGAATTGGATGGTTAGGCTTGATTATTGTTGACTGCGATGCATCGTATCCTGATCGCTTTGATCGCTGCTCCTATTATCAACCACCGGTTTGTGTGGTCCAGGCTCGATTATTTACGGGCGGAACGGTGATAAAGTTACACGATATGTATGTCGAGCATGACAAATTTACATTTTAATCATTCCCTTTCTATGACAGATGTGTTGAACATGATTCAAATGCTTTTCCATTTAAAGAGGAACCTCTCTATCCCCTTTGGGTGCGGTGGGGTAGACTTGTGCTTAAAACAGAAGACCCGGGTTCTATTACCCACACGATTACAATATGTGAAGCCCATTTCTGGTGCCCCCCATGATATTGCGGGAATATTGCTAACAGCGGCGTAAAGCTATACTCACACACTCTATACCCTTTGAAAATTTCAACCGTTTAAGATTAAAGCTAGGAATCGTGTAAGTACTACGTCACTGGAGACAGAGAAACAACAGTAGACCTGAAATCTGTCAGACAAGACAGACTGTCGAATATGTTCATACAATAATATAATCCAATCTCTGACATTAGACATATTTTGGTCTCATTATAGAAATTCTCCCAAGAGCAATAATATAATTGTCCCACTGTCCCCGCCACTACAGATGAGACAAGTCCTTGGCTAAATCCCATTCCCTTTGAACTGATTTATATCTGAGAATAACTGTTCTTGACTAATGCATGGATATGCGAAAATCTCGGCTAATAATGAATCGATTGATATTTCCGCTTCGTAAATGTTGGCTCAAGTCGTTTTTTCATCTATGCAATGCATTTCCACATGACATAATTGAATTAGAAAATTAGGTAGAGCCTGTGAGCTGAACCCGGCAATGGAATGTTATCTGCTCTCGACCTCTTAATAGACGCCATATATGAATATCCTCAAATGTAAGAATGGGTGTGAATGGACCAGTACTTCTGGAAGTGGTTGGAACCACTGCTAGTAAAAGGCAGGGACTTTTAAGATGCCATGTAATACAATGACGTCCATTTGCGAGCGAGAGGTTCATCATCTCTGTTCAAAAGCACTTAGACTCAAATCCGATGCAATGCATGTGTCAAGCGTAATGCCTAAATACACCTTCTAAACAAATGGGCGGTTGGGTAGCCCAGTAGTTAAAGCGTTCGATCGTCAAAGTTCGATTCCCCAGATTGAGGTTTTCTGGTGTCCCCCGCCCTGCTATTGCTGGAATATTGCTAAAAGCGGAGTAGAACTAAACTCACTCACTCACTCTAAACAAACGGCGATCTCTATTCCACCATTTAATCAATTAATGCATAAGGCAAGTTTGAAGCAGCTTCCGTAGCTGTGGCAATTAACTTTGTAAATCTATGAGATACTGAATGTTTCGAAGTTCACAGTAATTATCCTTCATTTACACAGACATGAAGGCAGTGTAATCAATAAAAATCATTAGCAGACAATGTAACTTTTCTATTTTCGTCAATGCTGACGCAAAGGGTCGGTAAGCTTGCCCAGTAAATGTAACATTTATATCAATCGTTTAATAATCAAAATCATAACGTTCAAAACTGATTTTTAGTGAGTGAGTTATGTTTTACGCCGCTTTAAGCTGTATTCGAGCAAAATCGCGGAGGGAGGCACCAGAAACACTGACTTGTAAAGCGTCTAATAAACAACCCCTGAATGGTTTTAGATAATATAATCCGGTGAGTGATTGTGTTTACTCACTTTTAATTCTAATTTTCAACTCCCTGGGGATCATGTTGTGTCACCCACCACCACCCCCACCCCACCCCCACCCCCACCCCAAGCTGCACTGGAAAGTTAACAGTGACATTACCCTCCATACTACCAGGCACCCATACACTGCTGGGTGAACAAAGACGTGCTGCGGAGTAATCACTTGCGATACTACACGTATTTGATGTGTTTCAATATGGGGCTCAGCCGAAGCACTAGAAACTTGCAGGCCCTTTTATACTTTCATCTTTGAGAACTTTCGTGATGTACAGGAAGACCTATTCCTGGTACCGCCTATTTAAAGTCTGTATTGTTATTACCTGTAACAACGTATAACCGGGAAATGTTATATTAAAAAACATCCTTTCTCTCAACCTGAATAGGAACTGGTAGTCAATGTGTTCAGGACAAAACCATGCAAGGTTGCCTCCCTTAGAGGTAGCAGAATACCATGATTATTGGTTCTCACCGTTAACACTAGCCCAATACCTATGTTTTTCACCAAAGTAGTAAACATCAAAGCCCTTCGCGAACATGAAGGAGTGGTGGAATAGCCTAGTGGTTAAAGCGTTCTCTCATAACTCCGAAGACCCGGGTTCGATTCCCAACACGAGTACAATGTGTGAAGCCCATTTCTGGGGTCCCCCGCAGTGATATTGCTGGAATACTGCTAAAGCGGCGTAAAACAAAATTCACTCACTCACTCACTCACATAAACATGACTTCAGTCTCCCCTGTTGCGTTGTGGTGATGCCTTTTAATCTTGTAAGAAATCTCTTCAAAATCAACATTTTCAGGTAAAGTCGATTTTTTACTTGAGCAATTGTGTAAAATCACGTTATCAACACTTTTGTTACATATTTTGACGATTGTTTGAACACGATCGGTAATTAATTTATTTTTAAAATACAAAACGCCTATGCGTTTCTTTTTTTTGATAGTATATAAAAGGTACCTCATGTAAGGAAAATCTGACTATGACGTTTCATCCAACGCAATGTACAATCATGCTTGATTTAGTTTATTATTATCTTTCCTTTCAAAATCTAAAAATATAGCGATACCACGGAGATAATTGGCCAAGATAACAAAGTGCTTTCAGAAATAACCACACTACCAGAACGACAGCATCCTCAGCGATATCATACAGTCGCGTCTCATACAACGAGACCCGTCAAGATCAGGGTTACAATATTGATCTTCAGTAACCCATGCTTGTCGTAAGAGGCGACTAACGGGATCGGGTGGTCAGGCTCGCTGACTTGGTTGACACATGTCATCGGTTCCCAATTGCGCAGATCGATGCTCATGCTGTTAATCACTGGATTGTCTGTTCCAGACTCGATTATTTACAGACCGCCGCCATATAGCTGGAATATTGCTAACTAAACTCACTCACTCATACAACGAACACGTCTGGGATGAGAAACCCGCTATATTCCTGAATCAGTGATATTTACTCACATGTTGAAGTGCCGCACTTTCACCAAAGCCTTGTGAAATTCATCTACTCAGCTGAACCTAAATGACGTTCATTTCCATCGTTGGAAGTATTTCAGGATGGTCGGCTCTGGAAAATAATAAAATCAACGTATAGTAGATGCTGTGCTTATAATATTAATAAAAATATGATAATATGCGATGAAGTGAAAGACTATTGCATATGTCAATACTAATAAAGACAAGAATAGACTCCAATAAGTAGCAGTTGAACATTTAATCATCAAGCTATGAATACGGGCTGTATATTAATGTTCCAAAACAATAGCGAAAAAGCGGGGACCGGGTTGAGCTCGTGTAATGTCTTAAGATCAATATGCGGCAAAGCAAAGGCGCGTTTCCGTCGCTATTAATTCCTTCTTAAAGGGAAATAGTTCTTATCAAAGAGAGCCACGTTCTGTTGAATTACAACACGAAGTGAAAGCGGGAAATAAACTCGGAAAAAGAACATAAAAAGTATCAGCGTTCCTGTCTTGATTCCTTAATACTTAAACATATTGGCATGCAATGCATCATTTGCAAGGGAGAATAAAATCAGTTATGAAAGGTCTTACTCATTTCGCACACGTTCTTATCCATAAGCCATTTTTCGCCATGTACTGGTCCTATCACACTTTCTCGGTGGTTTCTTATGTGAGTGAGTGAGTTCAGTTTTACGCCGCAATATTTCAGCTATATGTCGGCGGTCTGTAAATAATCGAGTCAGGACCAGACAATCCCGCGATCAACAACATGAGCATCGATCTGCACAATTGGGAACCGATGACATGTGTCAACCAAGTCAGCGAGCCTGACCACCCGATCCCGTCAGTCGCCTCTTACGAGAAGCATGGGTTACTGAAGATGAATATTCTAACCAGGACTTTCACGGGTCGGTTTCTTATGTAATAGAGTTAGTGCGTGAATGAGTGAGTGAGTGAGTGAGTGAGTGAGTGAGTGAGTGAGTGAGTGAGTGATTCAGATCCCAGATATGTTTTGAAACAAACGAAGACGACTATGGTGCTGACAAACGAGATCGCAGGAAACCGGGATTCGAACCCACATTCAAATGGTTCTGGTATGTCCAGGGCACGCAACCCTGCTTTGCAAATAACTCAGCAGCGAGATAAATTGAAAATCCTCGAACGGGAATAAGATATAATTGTTCCTCCTAACTGCATACAATCTTATGTTAGTATACAAGCTGCTACAACAGTCTGTGATTAATTGGAGTCTGGACCAGACAATCTTATGTTAGTATACAAGCTGCTACAACAGTCTGTGATTAATTGGAGTCTGGACCAGACAATCTTATGTTAGTATACAAGCTGCTACAACAGTCTGTGATTAATGGAGTCTGGACCAGACAATCTTATGTTAGTATACAAGCTGCTACAACAGTCTGTGATTAATGGAGTCTGGACCAGACAATCTTATGTTAGTATACAAGCTGCTACAACAGTCTGTGATTAATGGAGTCTGGACCAGACAATCTTATGTTAGTATACAAGCTGCTACAACAGACTGTGATTAATGGAGTCTGGACCAGACAATCTTATGTTAGTATACAAGCTGCTACAACAGTCTGTGATTAATGGAGTCTGAACCAGACAATCTTATGTTAATATACAAGCTGCTACAACAGATCTGTGATTAATGGAGTCTGAACCAGACAATCTTATGTTAATATACAAGCTGCTACATATGTTAATATACAAGCTGCTACAACAGACTGTGATTAATGGAGTCTGGGCCAGACAATGTTATGTTAGTATACAAGCTGCTACAACAGACTGTGATTAATGGAGTCTGAACCAGACAATCTTATGTTAGTATACAAGCTGCTACAACAGTCTGTGATTAATGGAGTCTGGACCAGACAATCTTATGTTAATATACAAGCTGCTACAACAGACTGTGATTAATGGAGTCTGAACCAGACAATGTTATGTTAGTATACAAGCTGCTACAACAGTCTGTGATTAATGGAGTCTGGACCAGACAATCTTATGTTAATATACAAGCTGCTACAACAGACTGTGATTAATGGAGTCTGAACCAGACAATGTTATGTTAGTATACAAGCTGCTACAACAGTCTGTGATTAATGGAGTCTGGACCAGACAATCTTATGTTAGTATACAAGCTGCTACAACAGACTGTGATTAATGGAGTCTGAACCAGACAATGTTATGTTAGTATACAAGCTGCTACAACAGTCTGTGATTAATGGAGTCTGGACCAGACAATCTTATGTTAGTATACAAGCTGCTACAACAGTCTGTGATTAATGGAGTCTTGACCAGACAATCTTATGTTAGTATACAAGCTGCTACAACAGTCTGTGATTAATGGAGTCTGGACCAGACAATGTTATGTTAGTATACAAGCTGCTACAACAGTCTGTGATTAATGGAGTCTGGACCAGACAATCTTATGTTAATATACAAGCTGCTACAACAGTCTGTGATTAATGGAGTCTGGACCAGACAATCTTATGTTAGTATACAAGCTGCTACAACAGTCTGTGATTAATGGAGTCTGGACCAGACAATCTTATGTTAGTATACACGCTGCTACAACAGTCTGTGATTAATGGAGTCTGGACCAGACAATCTTATGTTAGTATACAAGCTGCTACAACAGTCTGTGATTAATGGAGTCTGGACCAGACAATCTTATGTTAGTATACAAGCTGCTACAACAGTCTGTGATTAATGGAGTCTGGACCAGACAATCTTATGTTAGTATACAAGCTGCTACAACAGTCTGTGATTAATGGAGTCTGAACCAGACAATGTTATGTTAGTATACAAGCTGCTACAACACTCTGTGATTAATGGAGTATTGACCAGACAATCTTATGCTAGTATACAAGCTGCTACAACAGTCTGTGATTAATGGAGTCTGGACCAGACAATCTTATGTTAGTATACAAGCTGCTACAACAGTCTGTGATTAATGGAGTCTGGAACAGACAATCTTATGCTAGTATACAAGCTGCTACAACAATCTGGGATTAATGGAGTCTGGACCAGACAATCCAGAGATTGACATCATGAGCACCGATCTAAGCAATGGATATATGATAGCATGGGACAACCTTGCCATTGAGCCTAATCATCAGACCCCTTTAAACGTTTCTTTCTTCATTTGTTGAAGTAATTCTTACCCGGATCTTTGCGGTTCTAGTTATCGGTAGTTCATGTTTGAATTATTCCATTCATTACGTTCTATCACCCTAAACAACGACTGACTGACTGAGTTTGGTTTTACGCCGCTTTTAGCAATATTCCAGCAACATCACGGCGGGGGACACCAGAAATGGGTTTCACACATTGTACCCATGTGGGGATTTAATATATTACATGCTGGAACCCGGGTCTTCGGCGTGACGAGCCAACGCTTTAACCACTAGGCTACCCCACCGCCCCTCCTAAACAACGAGCTATGACTGACTGAAGAAGGGCTATAATGGCAATCGCTTGACAACACCACGTTCATGCAAATCTGCGCATCTGACTTCAAGGCTCTGAGCTGTGGACCCATAAGCCAGTAAGGTTCGATTGTCGCCAAGGGTGAAGCTATAAATACATTTCAACAATACTCATGATGGGGATGAATCCTTTAAGACTCCAGGATCTATTTTCAATTCTGAAGTTGTATATCATGAAAAAAATATCGATAGACTTATTTAACAAAATCCATCCGCAAAGACATCAAAGGTCTATCTAAGCTTCACCAAAGGCAGTGTGTGGTTTGTTTATCAGGTTCAGAAGGGTACTGTACGGTGTTATAACTACTCGAGTCTGATATCAAAGTTAAATCCTTGCAATTTCGAAACCAATTTATTGGAAGTGTCTGGAAAGACAATGTTAAGACAGAAATGTCACTCAGTTATGTGCAATTAACATGTGAAAATTGCTCCGGCATTCGGGGTGAGTGAGTTAAGTTTTACGCCGCACTCAGCAACATTCCAGCTATGTCTGTAAATAATCGAGTCTGGAACAGAAAATCCAGTGATCATCAGCATGAGCATCGATCTACGCAATTGGGATACGATGACATGTGTAAACCAAGTCAGCGAGCCTGACCACCCGATCCCGTTAGACGCCTCTGACGACAAGCATGGATTTGGATCTTCACGGGTCGCTCCGACATTCGGAAGTCTGGATGGTTTGACGTTGCCTGCAATATTATGGCAGTCGTACAGCGACATACACACATGTACACGTGTGTGTGTGTGTGTGCGTGCGTGCGTGCGTGTGTGTGCGTGCGTATGCGTATGTCACTCAGCTATGTTGGTTTTGTGACACTTGCCAATGAGATATCATGCCACAGTTTAACATTGACGCTCGACTCAGACACATTACTGTCCGACCCAGGGTCTCGATCCACAAAGCCTTATTCGTAGAGCTACGACATTCGTAATTCTATGGTAAACTATAGAGGTACGACAGGCCGTGACGTTACGAACGCTTTGTGGATCAAGACCCAGCCCCTAAGCGTTGGATGCTGGGCGTATTCACAGACCTTAAAAACTTTGGATAATAAAGTAAAATCATGTTATGGTTGAAAGAACGTAAACGTAACAGAGTTAGTGTAGATTTACTAAACAACGACTGGATTTAGATTTATACAAACAATATCACCTGCATTCTTTTGCCATAGCTTCCGTAAGAAGAGGATGCTCGAAAATAATTTCCACAAATGTAATTGATATAGGATTCTTGTAAGCTGTATGATAATGATAATTGATAATAATTGGAGTCACACTGCAGCCGTAGTTGACCGCCTACGATCGTGCAGGACGGTGAAGTTAACGTTTCCGAATCGTTAGTTTTTCGGCGTGACGGGCGAACGTTTTAACCACTAGACTACCCCACCAACCGCTGTAGAACTACAAACGTTTCTGTGCAGTGTGCGTGTTGCCTGTTTCAACCGCAGTTGCATAAGCAACAGTAGCTGTAGTAGTAGTTGTTGTTGTGGCTGTCTCTGAGGATAAGCGTCGAAACACGTGTGTTCACAGCTTCTTTGAGTACACAATGACGATAACATATGGAGAAGATACATATCTGGTTAGTAGTGACA